GCAATTTGATACAGCACCCAAAGAAACTAATTATACCATCTTTGTAGTTTGATCCAAACACCACTTTCAATTCCATATAAGGATGCCTGACTTTCTGGGGTTGGTGACCTTCCCCAATTAGAACTATTCCAGTAGCATGTTTTCACACTTACCATACCAATTAACACCACATATTAATGACACTACTACAAATACAAGAGTACTTCAGAAAGTTCATGGAAAAATAGAATCAAAAGATAATGAAAATCTTTCCATGAACTTTTGAAGTACACTCACATTTACATCATGCATGAGCATCTTTACAATATACATAACACATAATACATCTGAACATATGTGGGAATGTGCGTGCACACCTATATACGTATATATGTTAAATATTATCATGCATCTAGATATATGTGTGTATGTGAATATATATGTAATACACACACACACACACAAGGGGTCTTTGAAAAGTTCATGGAAGGATTTGTATTCTCTTCTAATACAATTTTTCCACAAACTACTTCAAAAAGTTCATGGAAAAATAGGATTAAACAATAATACAAATTTTTCCATGAACTTTTTAATCTACTCTAATATATACGCATATATATATATATATATCCACAGATACAGAGTCTTCCTGAGACACTCACGTTACAAATTTAGAAATTGTTTTAAGGAGGAAGGAGATGCCTTTGTATCAGAGGGTATGCAGACATGGATTGAGCTTATTTCAAACAAGAACTAAGAAAGTTACAGAAAGCTGCCAAGACAAAGCCAAAGAAACAATGTCTTGCCAACACATTTGATAGCTTGACCTGTCAGCTATATAAGAGACACAGACACAGCACTAAGCAGGTCAGCACAAACTGTGACTCAGGATTACAGAAAGGCCCACTGAATGCTGTATTACCATTGATTGAGAGACACTGTTTTGGTAACAAGAAAGCGTTTGTGTATATATGTATACATCTATACATACACACATACATACATATATGCATTTACATATGTATGTGTATCCTTACAAGTATTCAGCCTCGAATTTTGTATTTGAAAGTGTGCCTCAACATTATAAGGTCAAGAACCTTTACAGTAGGAAAATAGCGAGCCTCAAGAAATTAGAAAAGGGGCATTAGGGTCTAGGTCATTCCCACAGACTTTGGGTAAGTATGACAGTGGGTGCAAGTTATGATGGTCAGAGAATCTTCTAGAACAGACAAGAATAGAGTGGGGAGACAGGGAGTAGCAGGTTGATGAGTAAAATATTAGGTTTATGAGCAGTAGGTAATCCAGTAGAGAAGTCACTTATAATAAGAGGAATTTGGGGAGCCTATTTATATTTGTAGGTCAGAAAGTCATTAGGGCTAGAGATGGTTGCATGGTTAATGGCAAAGACACCCTAGGTCAGAATTACAGAGAGAAAGGAGGTAGATGTGGGACATCAGAGTAATGAAGATACACAAGGTGGTACAAGGGAAAAAAAAAAGCATCTCAGCTCCCAAGCACCTCCATGGCTCCTGGGACCCTCAGCAGCATGGTTTGAAAACCTTGGAACTAGCTTCCCCTCGGTTCTTACCTGGCTCCAAACTTGAACACTCAAATGAACCTTTCTGGAGGAAGCCTCTTGCAAATTGATTTCTATTCCATCCATTTCATTTTTGGAAGGAGATGTAAAGAACAAAATTTTTCTGGCACAAGCAACCTCTTCAAAGGGTATCCCGGTGAGCAAGAACATTAGTGAGTCCAGAAATCAGCAACTGAGCTCAACAATAAAGCGGAGAGAGTCATAAGAGGAAAATAGCCAGGTTGCCCAGTGGATTGGTGGGGTCCTGTTTCTGAAGACATTCTTCAGGTGGCATTGGTTGGAATGTGAAGCAAGTCTGAATCTCAATCGGAACTGGTCCCAAACACCCATCCTTTAATCCAGCCAAGACCAAATTCCCATGAGGATGTGCTGAAGTGGAAAGGGGGCTAGTGAAGAATCCCTGGATGGACCACGGTGCCTCAGCTGCAAGAGCCTCTGAAGGAAATGGAATCGACAACCAGGGGAAGGGAGAAAGGTGCGATGCTGGCTGAGAGCTTGTTTATGTACCAGGCTCTGTGCTAGACTGTCAGCTTCTGCCAGCTTCTTCAGTACTCACCGCATTTTAATAGGGGTAAGTGTATAATCCTTATTTGAGTGTCAAGGAAGCTGAAGTTCAGAGAGGTTAAGTATTTTGCTCAGGAACACAAAGTGATGCCAGAATATGAACCCAGAAATGCCTAACTCCAAAATATATGCTATTTTCAACAAACCAAGCAGATTCCCTGGAGTCTCAAATTAGTTTATTAATTCTTTACTCAATACATATGTTTTAAAAAAAACATCTCCAGATGTTGAAAGTTAAGCAACACACTTTTACCTAACAATGAAATGAGAAAATATTTTTAATTGAATGATAATGAAAATAGACATATCAAAACTTAAGAGCTACAGCTAATGCAGAGCTCTGAGGGAAATTTATAGTACTAAAATGTACGTATCAGAAAAGAAAACAGGCTGAAAAATCAGCGATCTAGGTTACCATCTCAAGAACTTGAATAGAGATACCCAAAGAAATTAGAAGAAATTTCTATATTTCTAATAATAAAGAGAATAGCAAAACCCAATTAAACAGAAAGGAAAATTCAACAAAGGTTGACTCTCTGAAAAAGTAATAAAATTGATAAGCCCCAAGCAAGACTAATCTAAAAAAAAAAAAAAAAAGGTGGGGGGGAGAAAACATAAATTGCCAGGAACAAATGTATTTTAACTGCATACTACATGTATAAGACACTGAGCATGAGGCTGAGGAGAAAGAGGAAGAGAAGGAAAACAATGTATCTGTTTTGAAGCCATCCAGAAAAATCACATTTCAGATTCTATTACATCCAATTTAACCCAAAATGCATCTGTTGGAAGAGATCATAGATCTTTCAAAAAAACCCAGGGGGAAAAAAAAAAAAAAAAAAAGGTGGGGGGGAGAAAACATAAATTGCCAGGAACAAATGTATTTTAACTGCATACTACATGTATAAGACACTGAGCATGAGGCTGAGGAGAAAGAGGAAGAGAAGGAAAACAATGTATCTGTTTTGAAGCCATCCAGAAAAATCACATTTCAGATTCTATTACATCCAATTTAACCCAAAATGCATCTGTTGGAAGAGATCATAAGCTACAGTTTGGTATTATAGACCTAGAAAAAAAGAGCATAGGTACTTTGGAGTTGGACAGAGCTCTCTAGCCTCTACTTTGATACTAAATGTATGACTGTAGGAAAATTCAGTAACCTCTTTGAGCTCCTATTTTCTCACCTAAAAATGGCCGATAATAATATCGACTTCACAGGGCCTTTGGAAGGCTTAGAGTAAAGCACCAATTACATGGGTAGCTTATATCCTACAGAATACTTTTCCACAACATGCCCATGACATAGAGTTTATAGTCTGACTATCTGCAGGAAGGGTACAAAAATACATCACGGGACACGGGCATTTGTTTGGAAATGTAATGTTTTCTGAAAAGCTTGGGCATCTACTTTTCTTGCCTGTTTAATAAGAGAGGTTTTGTGTGGTCATTTTTCAATAGAAAGGATGTTATCCACATATAAACAGCATGAACATATCACATGAAAATTAAAACAAAATAACAATATAAAATTTTCATTCTCATTTTATATGATAATCTTTTTTTAATATTAGTAGATCACACAATAAAAACTATACCGATAACATATTATTTTAAGACTTTGGGGGAAAAGGCTTCCATCTCCAGTGCTGACATTATGACAGAGGACTCCCCAAAATCTTCAGCTCTCCACCAGTGGATCTGCTGAGTCTCGTATGTTGGTGCATGCTTCAAGCAGTTGAAGATCGAGAACACTCATGGCGATTGGCTCAGACAATAGATCTGCAACCTAAGTGCTCAGGGTTTTTCACACACTGAACAAATCTGGCAGGCCTATGACAGAAGAGCAGAAAAAGGAGATCAACAGGCAGTCTGACCCATCTGTGGCTCGATTCTTTAGTGAAAGAAACCCCTTCATTAGCAACAAAAGTAGGCACAGACCACTTAGCATCCACACAAGCACCTCTGAGGCAGTGACAACACCGAGAAAGGTCTCATCCAGGAGTGAATGACTTCAAGTGTGGCCCAATTTACTTTCACTTTATTTGTACAGCCATAGAAATAAATACTGAGAAGGAGTGTTCGACAGTCATATGTGCAGGTGAGAACAAATGTCTGGCTATAACTTGTCAGAGATACGTGCTATCAATGTCAGCAGATGACCAAGAAACAGCAGAAGTAGCAACTGGGACCAGGGACCCCCAGAGTTTCTGTGGGTGATTTGTTTTCCTCTTTTTAGAGTTTCCTGAGTGAGTGTTGGATCAAAGGATCAGAGGTGGCACAGGGGTTACAGACCCTGTAGGAGAAGGCTGGGGGCTACCAGCAAGAGGACCACACTTCCTTAACACGGAGCAAGCCTTAGGTATGCATCTAACAGGTGAACGACTATCATTTTCATAGGAATGAGATAACAAAGCTACAGGGTCCAATGGGAGTGTCTAGCACATGGGGGGTGAGGAGAGGTGGATTGCAGGGAAAGTGGATCATTAAATTGTAGCTAAATCTAATTTTGCTAAATGCGAATCAAGGAAGAGAGCATTCCTTGGAAGAAGCTGCCAGCATCCCTGGGCCTCTGGAAGGGAGAGTTGTCAGAAACTGCCCTTGTGAGTCATCTCAGGTTCATATCTAGCCAATTTGCATGACCAGTTGGGCACAGCAGCTCTAAGTTTAGAGTCACTTCATTCTCACCAATATGGTCACCTGGGATCGCCCATATGAGCACATTCTAGGGAAAAAAGTATTCTCTTCCTTAAGGACATATTGCTATGGAAAAGGAATCTAAGACTAGGATTTTTGCAGCTATCTTTGCTTGATATTAAATGAGGAGACTATGAATATGTTTCTTAATTACAGTTTCTAATTTATTGAGAATTCAATTTTGGAAAAGAAGAAGTAATTATGCTGTTAAGATGATCTCTCTCCATAAATATGTTAAGTATTCGTATCCAACGTCCCAACAAAATGGACACACCTTTCATATGTCGGATAACATTTTGATGGATAGAGACAGTATATTTTGAAGTAAAATGGATTAATGCATCCTTTTAGGTGTTTTTTTTACATGCTGCTCGGGGGTACTAACCAGATAATGTATGCTGACATTTGCTGTATTTACGATAATCCAAAAAACTATTGTTACCTCTGTTTACTCCACTGGTTAAAACATATGTTGAGAAACTCTGCAAATATTTTATCAGGTCTATGAGTGTGTATATGGGGGGAAAAAAGGAAGTCTTAAAGGATATACAGCCAAATGTTAATGGTGTTTGTGGAATTTATTAAGGGTAACATTAGAATAATTAGGGAGTCTAATCTATATAAATAAAATTACACTTTTGTTTGCTTATGAAATAATCACACCAAAACAGCTGGACAAAAGTTTGCTAAAAGCAGAACATACGTTTGGGATGAAGAGATTTAAACTACAGTCTATGTCTATATCCCTGACATTCATTTCGGGCTCCCCTAGAGTCAGAAAGCTGTCCTCCAAAGCCACACAACTCTTAGGTACAACAAGGGGCCCTACGGGTCTGGTAATTAAAGAGTCATGATGTATATATTATGACCTCATGGTTGGAGAAAATAAACAGTGATTTTAAATATGATCCCCAAGTTTAAGGTTACACGATCTAATGCTCTGAGTGCCAGATGCTGGCTTACAAATGATCTGCTTCCCACATGGCTTATGTCTGTACAAGTCCAAACAGAAGCTATCTATGCCTATATATTCTTTCCAGATGGAGAATGAGTGAGCTCACCTGGACCCTGGAGCAGGCACAGTGACGGTCACTGATGGGTTTTAATAGAAAGGTCTTCTGGCCATTAATGAAAGAGAGGGAAATGTTTAATACAGGAAAAAAGATAAAAGAGTGTTGGGGATAAGACTCATTTTAATTTGCCAGTCTTCTCCTAGGCTTCTAGTATTCTAGGTTCGCTATGCAAAATATCTTTGACTAATTTAGGCTGTCAGATGTCTGCAAGGTTTCTTTTATAGTTGTTCCTTTGTTCTTTGTTTTCCCATCTAACTGCTGCAGAATGCACATGAAATTCTCTGGCAGTTTTCAGGTAAGAGCCAGCCGATTGATGGGAAATATGGGTCATTTGAGAAACAAAAGCCATCAGTCCCTTGAATCTATCTTTCTGCCTTCATGAAGCAGGTGGCGGGAGAGATTGGTGATGTGAAAGAGACAGGAAAAATATTCTAGCACTTCAGCTTCCACGTGCTTTGAAAAACCTTTTCTCTCTGTATCAGTCATGTTCACAGTGATCACATGGAGAAAATCTTCAATGATGCTTCCAGCACGGAATCCTTACCTACATCATTGGCTACAACTCTTAAAAATAAGTGAGGGGGTCCCAGGTTTGAAAACAGTTACAGGTAACTTTAAAATTATATATCTATCTGTAATTTTAAATGCTTCTCGAATACACATGGATAACCAGTAATTTTTTTTTTAAGATTTTACATTTTTTAATTGAAAAAAATAAATCTTGGTAGACTTTCATGTGGCAACTTACCAAGTGTTAGGAATCTGCACCCAGATCCAACTAAGGAAATTTCACATGCAAAATTATGCCAAGTTATGAAAATTTTACATCTTGAGAGAAAGGTCTTGGCAAAATATGCTTTTGTTCCCCGGAAACCTTGCAGGCCTAAAAGCCTTGGGCAAGGCCCCTCACTCAGGACACCAGGAAATAAGCCCTCAAAGGCTGGGTCAGCTTGAAAGCCAAATTACTGCTGGGGGCGGGTAGGGAAGGAAGGAGATGGGGGAAGGTGGCCAAGCGAAGGCCACTGGCTAGGAAAACCTCTTGGGCAAGGCCGGGGGAGAGACAGAGGTCACTATAGGTCATCACTCAGACCACCATCATGGCCAGGCAAGATTCCTGCAGCCCTCCCAGCTCAGAGGTAGCCAAGGAAAGGGGAAACACCTACCAATGGCAAGACTGCCTTTTCTCCTTCAAGAAGAAATCAATTACCTGTAATCATTCTGGCAGATAAATGTAATATTCTTTTGGCTTAGAATTAATTTCAGCTCATTTATGGAGGAACTGGAGCATGAGTCACTGGGGAAGAAAGAAGAAAGTATTAAAATAACAAGATCTTGCAAACACTTGATCTTGCAAAAGCCTGAGTTTCCTAGTTTCTTTTGGTAGCACGCCCTGGACAAAGCCCAGGTGAAGAGGTGGAGCAGAGGTTCAGCCTCTAAGAGCCTTCAGGTCATCAGGGGAGCCTCAGGTGTCAAGCAGTCAGAAATTACTGCACAGAAATAAAATTAAGAGGTTGCAGGGATGGGCTAAATGCAGAGTAAGACCCCATTCATTTCCTGATCCAGTCTGTTCCCAGTGCATTCTTGTGACTATGGATTATTTGATGGACTAATTCATAAAATAATCCTTGAGTACAAAGTAGTAAGACATACCTGGCAACTCCTTCGATAGTATGCATCACCCAGGCTTGTAGTGTATGAACCTTCTCTGGTTGCAGCTTGAAGATTTCCAAACTTCCAAAAATGCTAACATAGAAAAGAAAGAATATTGTCAACCACAAACTAAAGCATTCAGGCATCCACACCCTATGTCAAAAACCAGCAGACAGGATGCCACTGGTTAAAACCTACTGTTTGGAATGGATCAATAATTTGCATTAGAAACAGTCACTTTTTCTCATTTGACATGACTCTCAATTGACAAGATTCAAAATAAGATTTTTAATCTGTATGTTGTTGCTTATTCTTTACTTGCTATTCAGAGTAGTCCTAAGGTCAATGTAAAAAGCATCACCTGGGACCTAGTTAGAGCTGCAGAATCTCATCCCACCACCACCTCCTGGATTAATTTGGAGTTTACAATCCCCAGGAGATTCCCATGCTCAGTGAAGTCTGAGAAGCAGTGCTCTACAAGCCCCTGATGCCTGCCCTAATCCCATTCCTAAACCCATCCCTGTTAGTCTCTGACAGCTGCTGCTTGTGTTACAAGTACTTAGATCCCTAATATGAGATTAAAAAATTCTGAAATGTTAACACTTTCACCCAAAAGTTTGGGATCAGAAGAAGATAAGGACAAATCTTTGTTGTAGAATTAAATATTAGCACAGGAGGAAGGGGAAATTAGTATTGGGCACTACAGTTCTCGGGACAAATTAACATATGCTCCCTCCTTCAACCAGCCTTATCTGGGGAAAGATTAGAGATCAAAAGCCAAAAGGCAATCAAGAGGTAAAAACTAAATATAGAAGGAGGTCAGACTGGGAAGGGGTGGGTGTGGCCAGATTCAGTGGTGAGGAGTCCACAAGAGAGTGACAGCTGAAGCTAAGCTCATTGAGCACTTTCTCTGTTAGGCAAGAGCTCAGCATTTTTCGTACATTATCTCAGTCTTCACGTTACCATCACCTCTTCAGGTACATATACAGGGGCTCACAGAGGTTAGGTGCCCTGCCTTAGGTCATGCAGGGAATGTGCAATGAGCTCTGCAGTCCCCTCACTTTTAACCCTTGCAGTACGTTGCTGACAATGCCTGCAAAGAGATCGTGAAGGCTGGAAGCTCAGCACAGTTCCCAACATTCCCAGGAATAATTTTACTGCTGAATTGGGATTCACGCTCTTTGTGGAGGAAAGAGGAGTCAGGCCAGATCTTCGTGGATGGTAAGGATTGAGACAGGCAGAAGGGGGAAGAAGAGGCAGGTTATATGGGGGAACAGTGTGAAGAAAGGTGGGAAATGGGCAGGATGGAGTCTAATGGGAGCGAAAGCTGAGAAAATTACACCAGGCCTGGAAAAGTCAAGAGCAAGGGCTGGCTGCAATGTGGCAGCCACTAGGACCATTAGAGGATTTTATTTATTTGTTGAATTTAACATTTACTTGTACACATTTGTGGAACAGAGCGTGTTGTTTCAATACATGCATATACCGCACAACCATTAAAGGATTTTAAGCAAAGGAGAAATTTGTAATTCTCCTGAGACAAAAGCATTGACTCAGAAAGGCAAATCTCTCCAGAGAATAAAAATGTTTACCTTTTTTAGCCCAAATCTTCAGGACTGACTTGAAACATGCAAAGCATGTTCTTTCTAGGGATGAAATATCCAACAGGAGGCTATGATAACCCTTGCAAATAGAAGGTAAGGAAATGAGTACCTGTCTTTGTTAAAGGTTTTACTGATGGACCCATTGAGCATCACTTGGACCACACCACAGGCAGCTTCTGCAAACTTAAAAAAAAAAAAAATGCCCACCATTCTTCAACATGCAAATTTAATCACCTTGTCCCAGCAGTTCCATTCAAAACAGTGCTTAGCGTTAGCTGGTGAAGGAGGGAATATCCTGTGTGGTTTTGGTACAGGAATGCCAGGTCTATATAATATTTATCCAAGCCATTGGAGGGATGATGCTTCACGTCAGAGTTCTCAAAGCATTTACTCCAATCTGTATTTGAACAACGCAGTTCAATGTCATTGTTCACAGGGCTGCTAAATTTGGTAGTTCAGAAGGTAGAAGTCCAGATAAGTAAGAGGAATGTCGCTAGAGGAGGAAGATGAAAGCTCTCTGTCATGCACTACAGACACTACATGTCATTTAGTGGGAGCAGGGTGGACAATTCAGGAGTAAGGGAAATGGAAACACCATGAAAGGGGAAACTGAGGAAAGAGAAGGTGACCCTGAGTCCTGGAAAAAGAAAAGGGAGGAATGAATGAATGAATGAATATGATTGAGCAAGGCATTTTATTTCTTCATGCAGCAAACATTCCACAGCCTGGGGTGCCTTGTACCTGGTGCATGGTGACCAGGAAAAATCCATGGAAGGAAAGAGGATGGGAGGGAGGAAGGGCAAGAGGAAGTAAGAAGGGCCGGCCCGGTGGTGCACTGCTACAGTGCGCCGCTTGGGAGTGCGGCGGCGCTCCCGCCGAGGGTTCGGATCCCCCATACAGACCGGTTCCCACTCACTGGCTGAGCGAGGTGCGGGCGCGACACTGAGGGTTGCGATCCATTGCCGGACATGAAAAAAGACAAAAAGGAAAAAAAAAAAAAAGAGGAAGTAAGAAGTCTAATACTCTGTGGTAGAAATTAGGAAAGAACAAGAAAAGCATAAAGGAAGGCACAAAAGCCAAGTCCTGAAAGATGAACAGGATTGCACCAGGTGAAGACTGAGGCAGCCATGAACAGAAAGACCTAAGAATTTAAGAGAGCACTGGTGGTTGGGGGGAAATGCCCGTGGATGCTGAAATTGGGCAAACAAGTTAATTCATGCTGGGCCATGAATGCTTTACCAAGGAATCTGGATGTTAGATTAATATGCAGGTGTTATTAACACCACCGAAGGATTTGAAACTGGACTGTGAAATTTAATGCTGCTTCTGTCTTTCACTGGAGGTGATGAGCAAAGGGACAGAGGCTCAATTGTTATTACTAATCATGAGTACCAACTCAAAAGAGTACTTTCAGGTGCCAGGCATGGACCCCACAAGATATAATTCTCAAGAGTTCCCACAAGGTAACTATCGGTCAGTTTGTCTCAGGGTCACATAACTTGGAAGCAAGGAGGTGAGGTGGGGATTTGAGCCACCAAGCAGCACTTCCTCTATTGTCAGAAAAGGAAAAGGACTAGTCTGACAAAAGAAGACCATCCACAAACATCGATGAGCATTTTGCAAAGATAAAGGTGCAGGTGCCCAGGTAGCTCACGACAACAGGGCACCTTCAATCTCCTTCACCACTGTCCTCCCAGCACCAAGGACTGAGCGGGGATCACAAGTAGATGCTTGATATGTATAAAATATGACTTGGCTTTAAAAGTTTTTAGCAATAGCATTTCCCTAAAATATATGATAGAGAGAGGAAATAAACAGAAGCTATTCTAGGAAAAAACAAACAAACAGAAAGTACTCAGCGCCCCTGATTTTTCACAGCACATGGGAGGTACTCAACAATTACTTGTTAAATGGACGGATTCTCAGTTATTTGACAGGAAAATGGTATCTTATTTAAACATTGCAGGAACCCTAAGGAACAGGCATATTTTGATCTCCATTTGACAAATGAGGAATCTAAGGGTCAGAATGGTTAAGGAATTTGCCCGAATTTAAAGGTGATCTCCTTACTTCAACCCCCAGGCTGTTCGCCTTTCTCCGCCATAGGAGGGTTTACCTGAATCCCCTTAAGGCAGGTGTTCAGTTAGGTACTAACAGAGAGTTAAGGAAGATCAAGCCTGCCGTTTAGGAGACAGAACCAATAAGCAGATTCAAACAATAAAATTGAAGAGCGTGACTTTGCAATCAGGCAGACCTAGGTGAGCCTCTCACCTCTCCTACTTACTAACACAGTGACCCTGGATGAGTCACTTAGCCTCTAAGTCTTAGTTTCTTCACCTTTAATGTGGGAATTTGTACCTTCTCACGCTATCTACTGAGAGGACTAAATGAGAATGACATAGCAAAGGCACCTCCAGGCTTGTCACAAATATGTGACATATGAATGTATATGTCTTCCTCAAAATTCACATGTTGGAACCTAAGACTTAACGTGACAGTATTAAGAGGTGGGGACTTTAGGAGGTGGGGATTTGTGCCTTACAAAAGGGTTCAAGGGAACTACCCCACCACTTTTTTCCCTTCTCCTTCTACCATGTGAGGATGCAGCAACAAAGTGCAATCTTGGAAGCAGAGAATAGCTCTGGCCAGACCCTGAATCTTCTGGAGCCTTGATCTTGGACTTTCCAGCCTCCAGAACAGTGAGGAAATAAATTTCTTTTCTTTATCAATTGCCCAGTCTCAGGTATTTTGTTATAGCAGCACAAACAGACTAACACATATGCAATTAATTAACATAAGTTTTTATTTGCCCCAGCTCCTCAGAAGCGTAAGTTTAATTTTGGAGAATTAAAATTAGTGTATTTTTACTGCCTCTTCCTCTTTCATTTGTTTCTTGCTTTCTTTATTTCTCTTTCTTTTTTTTTTCCTAGTCCACTTGCAAAGAAGTAACTTATAAGAAAAATGGATACAGATAGCTTCAAGTAAAATCAGCAATAGGTGGGGAGCAGGGGGCATGGTGAGCATTTCCCAGCCCAGACACTGGATCTGGAGTCAGACAACATGGGATACACTCCAAATCTGCCATTTACTAATTGTCTGCAATTGGTAGATTGCTTATTTACCTGTACCTCCATATTGGCATCTACAAAATGGGTGTGATACTCATGGTACCTACTTAATAGGGTTTTTGTGAGCATGAAAGTTTTTAATTCATGTAAAGATCTGAGGACTGTATCTGGCACATAGTAAGTGCTCTATAAATGCAGATTATTAAGACTGTTCTAGGAATCTAAGGTTGACCTGAATTAAAGGATTGAATCAAGCCCCTGCTTCCTGGCAACCAAAGTCAAAGAATGGGTGAGAGCAAAGATTCTTCAACTGAAGCCCACGAACCCTCCATGAATGCTTGAAAATTGTATGTGAAAATATTCTGGCATGTGCTTCTGAACCTTTTTCTCAGGAAAAAAAATCCTATACTTTTATTCCCAAAAAGATCTGTGATCCAAAAAGTGTTAAAACCAACCACGGACTGGATGAGATCTTAAATTCTTTAGTTTCCAACATGCTAGAATTTCACTGCTTTGTACTTACCCTCTGGGAAACCATTTTCCAGAATACTGAATTAGGGTTGTTGCTGCAGTCTTTCTTCCAGTCTGGGCAAGACTGATAGTTCATTTCTAAAAGACATAGTTTACAGAAAACAATTAAGTAGAAGAGAAAGAGCATAAGTAAGCTCCATTCTCCCCTGGCTGTCCCATCACAGGCTATTTTTCACTGGCATCACTGCCAAGATGGAGGATGGAGAACGGGCACATCTCGACCTAATTTAACTAAGTGTCCCCTGACTCCCTTCCAAGTCCTCACCTTACCTTCCAAATCCCAAACAGGAACACAGTGACAGGTTTTAAGCCATCATTCTGGGAAATGGCAGCAAAAGTTCATTCCATAGAGACAAACCCCCACATTCAGGAAGAATTACAAACAAAACCAGGCCTCCAAGGGTCACTCTCACCAACCACTTCTCTGCTTCCTGACAACTCTCTATTGTTGACAGGTTCCTCTCCAACCTCCCTAAGTCCCCACACCTTAGGCCCAGATGTCCTCAGAGTCTTCTACACTCACGCTCATCAAGACAGGCTCAGCCCTCGGTGAGGTGTAATAGACACTGAGCATGAATGAATCGTTTCCTTGTCACATCTCCCAAGGGTATCTGCCTTAATGCACAAACATTTATTGAGTGTTATGCCCTGGGGATAAGAGGTGAATTAGATGAGAGCCTTGCCTTCAGAGAACACATAATGTCATGTGTAATCAAATAAACCAGAGAAAGAACAACGTGGGATGAAGCTTGTGCAGCACCAGCAGGGAAAGTTGACATTGAACTTGGTTTTGAAGGATGAACAGGAGTCTTCAGGCAGACAAGATAAAGAAAGGTGCTCCATGCAGAAAGAAGATATGCAAAGGCACAGAGCTGTGAGACAGCCTAGTGTGTTCATATTAGTGCTCCCAGAGCAGAAGGGGTGAGGAGAGGAGTGATAGAAGATGAGACGGATAAGAGATGGAGGCCAGGTCATGCCAAGGAATTTAGACTTTCTATTTAGGTTTGGGTAAGAGACAGATACAATCACATTTTCATCTCAGGAAGAGCACTGTGGTTGCCAGAGGGTGAAGAGTGAGCAGTAAGAATACAACAGACCCAGCAAGAAAGGAAAGTGTGTTCATGTGCTGGACTCAGGCAGTGCTAATGGGATAGGAAGGATGAATTACCACGCAAATAGATTAGGTCGGTGACTGATTGGCTGGGGGCAGTAAGAAAGAGGGCATATCACCACAGAAAAATGTTAACTATGTGAAGAGAGGATATGTTAATTAGCTTCACTGTAGTAATTGGTTCAGTATTTATATATATATCAAAACATCACACTGTACATCTTAAGTACATTAAAAAATTTTTAAAGAAAAAATGACTCGGCCCTGCGGTACCAGTGTGCAACCAAGCAGGTAGGCCTCACTGCTGCTGGACCCCATCCACACCCCAGCCAAGTGTGCGCCAACCAGAGAGGTGAACGCCCAGAGAGGCCCGAGTCCTGAGGAGACCACGTGCCTCATGGCACCAGCATGTGACCTAGCAGGAAGGCCTCACCACTGCAGGACCCCATCCCCAGCCCAGCCGAGTGTGCACTGACCAGAGAGGCACCTCTCTAGAGAGACCTGAGACATATGGCAAGCACACACCTGAGTGCCAGCAGGCATTCAAGCAGACACTGAGGCAGCAGTGCCAAATTGGCAGCCCTGGCAGGATCCTAGCCAGACAATAGTGTCGAACCAGTGGACCATGAAGTCCCTTGCTACAATGACTAAACATCAAAGGAAAGATACCAGAAATATGAAAAATCAAGAAAGTACACCACCAAAGGGTAATAACTCTCAAGCTCTAGATCCTATAGAACAAGAAGCCCTTGAAATGTCTGACAAGGAATTTCGAGTGATAATTCTAAGGA